AAAAATGATTAAAATAAAAATAGAAACGTGAGACAAAAAAATAAAAAGGACAAAAAAGACAATACCAATTTCAGATGCTTCAGTAAAAACTGACCGCTCGTACAAGAGCAAAAGGTCTGTGTGCATCCCTTGTAACTCCAAGGCTGCAAATAGAAAAGAAAGATAAAAGAGCATAGGCCACAAGAGAGGCTTGGCGTATTGATTACTCTCTCACGAAAAAAAAAGTCTACCATCCATTGCGTACGGCATGTCCGCGTGTCAACTTTAACAAACAGGAAAAAGTGATACACTGCACGAATCTTTGCATCAAGGTCTTATGGCTACCGGATCGACAGAGACCCAACTAATTCATATTCGAGTGAGAATTAGCGAATCCTGAAAAAGAAAGCTAGCAAGAGTCACACTATTAGAAAGTAAAAAAGTTTTAAAAGATAAAAAGCAAACAGAAAATAGAACACACAAGTAAATAGAAAAGAAACAAGAAAATGTGAAAATAAAAATCAGCTTTTTAGCAATAAAAAAACAGCTCAGGCCATATGGAACAGAAATGAAAAGGGGAAAGAAAAAGAAAAAAAGGCCACAACAAGTTCAAATAAAGCACAGACCAACACGTACCTAAGGCCCAGAGTGAAGAAAAAGAAAGAAAAGAGCAAAGCCCAGGTAGAAACGGCAATACAGGGGCCAGCGACTTGTGCGAGCGACTCGAACGTACAAAAGACAGAAGTTAAAGCGCGAATCTGACGATGGACTCGACTGAGACTTCGCTAAAACTCAGTCGACTGAGTTTTAGCGCATCCGAAGCAAGAGAGCACCACGACCACGTACGTTCTAGTGTCCAAAATTTTGTCCCCAAGATCATCAATGGCGAAGAAGGTAGCTGGTGCTTCAATCGGCCCCTTCCCTTTTGCGGACGTCGAAGCTGACTCAGGCTTGGTTTCCGACGTGCCGGAGCAGCTTCCAGAGGAGCACCCCGACGCCGACCTTGTGTCCGCCCTGCCCAGCGCGCCGATGGCCATGGGCCTGTCGAACCTCCGTCTCTACAAGGGCTTCTGGCTGCCGGAGTGGTCTGTCCCGGCGGCCGTCGCCCTACAGCGCCGCTTCGAGCCCCGCCGGGACGACGTCATCGTGGCCAGCTTCCCCAAGAGCGGCACCACGTGGGTCAACGCCCTGACGTTCGCCACCATGGCGCGGCGCGCCTACCCCGCCGCCGACGCCGGGCACCCGCTGCTACGCCTCAATCCGCACCAGTGCATCCCTTTCCTGGAGGGCCTCTTGGGCAGCCGGCGAGGGGAGGCCAAGCTCGAGGCGCTACCCTCCCCGCGCCTCATGAACACGCACATGCCGCTGGCCATGATGCCGCGAACCGCCGCGCCGCCGCCGGGCGGGGGCGGGTGCAAGGTCGTGTATGTCTGCAGGGAGCCCAAGGACATGGTGGTCTCGCGGTGGCACTTCCACCGGCGGCTGCATCCAGAGCTGCCGTTCGCCGACGTCTTCGAGGCCGTGTGCAGCGGCGCGGTGGCGTACGGACCGGCGTGGGACCACATGCTTGGCTACTGGAGCGCCAGCACGGCGAGGCCGGACAGCGTCCTCTTCTTGCGGTATGAGGACCTGCTGCGGGACCCCGCCGAGCACGTCAGGGCGCTGGCGCGGTTCGTGGGGCTGCCTTTCTCCGGCGCCGAGGAGGATGCCGGCGTCGTCGACGACATCGTCAAGCTCTGCAGCTTCGGCCACCTCAAGAACCTGGAGGCCAACAAAACGGGCAACCTGAATCCCATGCTCCCGATCCCGCGGGACGCGCTATTCAGAAAGGGCGTGGCAGGTGACTGGGCGAACCACATGACGCCGGAGATGGCGCGGCGCCTGGACGAGATCGTCGCGGACAAGCTCCATGCCGTAGGGCTCGCCTTCCATGAGGGACGACTCGACTGAATGTCCAGTTCAAAATTTTCCTGTTTGGTAAAAACATATGTTGAGCTCAAGTACATGCATAAACTTGATGCTAGCACGGTGACATGGCGTATGCATTTCATTAAGCTACGGTATAAGTATAACAATGTTTCTCTCTCAAAAAGAAAAGTGTTTCTCGAGAAGCAACAGATCTGTTCCTGCTGCAACAAGTATACAGTACGGCACAATTACGTAAGTATATTTGTCAGTAAATGTGCCCATCCAGTAGGAGATAAGTTAAATCGTAAAGTAGCGTTATTATTAAGTTCATGGAGTAGTGTGCTGACGCGCGTTGGGCATTCACCATCACATCGACAGTTGATGCTACTGCTAACAACAAACTAGTTCATTATTCTTTAAACAGACTCGTGAAACGCGGGCATGTGTGCTTCACTTTGTTTAAGCCGGCATGACGAGGCATTATGGTATCATACTTGACATGACAATGTATATATATCCTTACTTAACCAAGGCGTTTTCCGCGAGCGGCAATATATAATAACGGTTGTTTTCCTGCATGGCACGTACGACAAATCAACCACCATAATTGATCAATCAGCTAAGTTCTGCAGTGCACTCGTCACCAATGAAAACATCTTGCGAATCAACCTGTGGTTGAGTTGGTTAGGTGGACAGTGGTATCCCCAACCCACCAGAGTTTAAATCCTGGTGCTCGCATTATTCCTGAATTTATTTCAGGATTTCCGGCGATGCGCTTTCAGTGGGAGGAGACGTTCCCATCGACGACGAGGCGCCTACGGTGACTTCGTAAATCTGAAGATGATATGCCGGCTCAGTCTTTCGGAGGTGCTCATAGGGATAGGGTGTGCGTGTGTGCGTTCATAGGGATGAGTGTATGCGTGTGTATATGAGCGCTTGTGTCTGTACTGATGCTTAAAAAAAATGAAAACATCTTGATCAAGCTGCCCCTTTTCGGAAAAAAAAAGCTGCGAGAGAACTCCTCGCAAATTGGATGGATCACCCTAATGCTTTGTACTCCCTTTCTTTCAAAATAGATAACCCAACTTTGTAATAACCTCCGTTTCAAAATAGATTATCCAACTTTATACTAACTTTGTATTAAAGTTAGTACAAAGTTGGGTCATCTATTTTGAAACGAAGGGAGTACAATGCAAGGTGCTTAAGGGGAGGTGCTTAGAAAAATAAGACCACATGCCTTTTTAAAAAAAGTTAAGTGCGGACAAGAAATGGGTCGGCGCGTTGGGCGCACTGCCGACTCAAATCTAAAAGAGGGTGGGCGCCGGGCGGGCGGCCTACCCAAACAGACAAAAAACGGACAAATTCGCCGTCCGTTTGAATCGGCCCGTTGGAGTTGCTCTAAGAACTCAATGTTAGCAAATTTTAATGTATCCAAAGGCTTCTGTTATCAAATGGGAAAATATTAACAGGCCGAGATTTGCGGTTACCATGGACCATGGTTACCACAAGACCCAGTGCATTTACCGCTCAATTTTTTTTCAAATGAATGCCGTTTGGTACAAAAACATCATCGCGGTTACATATCGAAAACAAAGGGAAATGATTTGCAATCAACACCCCTAATGAATTTGTTTCCTTACAGACAAGGACACTCCTTTTACAATGAACACCCTAAAGCTTTTGTTTTCTGACAAGTAAGAACAAAATTTTGACAAGCATAACGCATCCACAAAGGCACTAGATGGGTGAAAATCATTTTTGCAAGAAAAGATGGATTAATACATTAGCGCAAAAAAAGCCGTTTGGTACCAAAAACGTCAACAAGGTTATATATTCGTATACTTTTCTGAATAAAACCCCACATGCCAAATCATGCCACCAAAAATTCACTTATAATATCTATGGGAGCAAAGCATTATGCAACATAGGTTAAGGATACATCTCTTATGATCTATGCACAAAATGAGTACTATTACGGTATTACCACATGTACAAGTTCAAAGACATGTCATTTTTACAGAAAATAATAATTATAGTATTGTTTGCTTTCATCGTGACATTTATCTTGTGTTGGAGTCTATATTTCCTATGCATGTATGTAGGTGTGGCGTTACATCTAGCCCATATTCTACTAGGAGTACAAGCCGGTGTAGTTTTGGCTAGAATCAGAATATATGAAACAAGAACATTGAATAGCAACCTGAAACAAGTGATCTTTTCTTGTGAGACAAGGATGAATGTTCTATTGTCTCGATTATACATACTGCTAAATAATTCAATCACGGTTACAACTTTTAAGATCAACACATGTGGCAGTACAAAAGCATCCAATGCAAGGAAGAAAGCATAAAACAAATGCATGCAAATTAATGCATATATTATTTTTCCACTAACCCTTTGCTTGCACTCGTAGCACCTAAGTGTGAGAATTGGTTTGAAACTTTTAGAGATTGTACATGTCTTGTGAACATTTAACATGTTTTTTCGAAAAAAAATGTACTACACTTTGTAACATTATTCGTGTTGAAGGGTGGCCTCAACCTCCCCAAGCCCCCAACTCAGCCAAACCATGTCCCGCCGTTGACGCCGCAACCACAACCCTACAACCTTACTATCATTTTACTACGATTGGAAACAAAGAAATAATGAATGAACCAAACAAAGGAAGAACGCCGTTCACTTTTAAAGGAGGGAAAGCATAGATACAGTAGACGAGTATGCAACGTTCATTTTTAAAGGAGGGAAAGCATAGATACAGTAGACGAGTATGCAGAAATACAACACAATTGGTCAAATTGACCGAAAAACTTCAGGATGGATGCCAAACTAATCACTTAATCATGCATGATTTGTGCAAGGATGCAATTTGAAATCGTGTCTCTAGATAGATCGTTGCGACATGCATTTGAATCAATTACTCTATAGTTTCTGAAGGGACTGGCTGAGGACAAATGTGGTTAACAAACAAAAGTAAAATGAAATAAAATGTTTATAGAGAATATAAATAATGTAGACAACGTTTGTCGATCTAATCCTGGAATGGTTGGTAGACCCAGCATCTCATGTATAATAGAAATCAGCTGGGGAAAACCATACTAAGTTGCACAACATAGTACCCCCTCTGTAAACTAATATAAGATCATTTATATCACTAAAGTGGTGATCTAAAGGATCTTATATTAGTTTACAGAGCGAGTAGTACTGAAGACAATTTCTAGATTATGAGTGTAGTTTTAGTACTCATACTATGTTTTAACCATAGTAAAAATCTGCATAGAAGTGACATAAATGGGCATGATTTTCAGTGAGCCAAGTGATAAAAGTAAGAGTATAATCTCAGGTGCAGAGTAGAGAAGGTTGATCTGAAAACACCATATGTGATGGAATTAGACAGTTTGGGCAATTCAGTTTGGTTTGTGTTCTGTTCTGATGAGTATAACACAGTGAAGTCAGTCATTTAGTTTAGTGTAAAGATGGAGTATAATAGAAAAAGAAAAAATTAGTCCAAGAGGACATTTGTGGGTGTACGTTTATTTTTTTTTTCATGGGAAAATAATTATATCATAGGAACAATGCTAAAAGATCTGCTGCAATGGATAAAAAACTGGGTCTTTTGATTCCATATGTGTGTCAACCTATAAGTGCGAAGAATAATAATCATGTCTACAGGGTGAGGACCGAAGATACATGTGGCAATGCAAGGAAGGAATAATTCAACCACTAGGTGCAGCGTGAGCTATTGTACTGAATAAAACAACCACGGTTTATAACTGTAACATCAAGATACATGTGGCAATGCAAGGAAGGAAGCACTGAACAAATGCTTATGCATATATTATTTTTGCCAATAACCTTTTCCTGCATCGGCTGGCCCATGACCCTCGTGACTTGCTGCTCGCGTCTGCATCAGAAGGTTTTTTTTTTGTGGGAATCTGCATCAGAAGGTTCGCAAGATAATTCATCAGTTTTAGAGAGAGAGAGAGGGAGAG